AGAAGTTCTACAAAAAGCCCCGATTCGGCAAATCAGCGTTCACCATTTGTCACTATGCGGTTGACGTGACTTATGAGTCTGATGGCTTCATAGAGAAGAACAGGGATACTGTGCCAGACGAGCATATGGACGTCCTTCGCAATTCTTCAAATGAATTTGTGAAAGAAATATTAGACACTGCTGCTGCTGTTCGGGAGAAAGATTCGGCATCGGTTTCATCCAAACCAGTTGCAGCTCCAGGACGCAGAATCGGGGTTGCTGTCAACAGAAAGCCTACGCTTGGGGGAATTTTCAAGTCATCACTCATTGAGCTCATGAATACCATCAATTCTACCGACGTGCACTACATACGGTGCATAAAGCCTAACGAGGCAAAAGAGCCCTGGAAATTCGAAGGGCCAATGGTCTTAAGTCAACTCAGAGCCTGTGGTGTGCTTGAGACCGTCCGCATCAGTACTGCTGGGTATCCCACCCGTTGGACGTATGAGGAATTTGCCATCCGTTATTACATGCTTTGTCATTCGTCTCAATGGACCTCAGAAATCAAGGAAATGTGCCATGCAATTCTACAGAAAGCGCTTGGGGACGCGAGCCATCAGAAACAAGATAAGTACCAACTGGGCTTGACCAAGATATTTTTCCGAGCAGGTATGCTTGCGTTCCTGGAGAATCTCCGTACATCCAGATTGAATGAATGCGCAATCATGATACAAAAAAATCTGCGGTGCAAATATTATAGGCGTCGATACCTCGAAGCCCGCTCCTCTATCCTTACGACGCAAGCTCTGATCAGAGGCTTCTTGGCAAGACAGCGCGCGGCAGAAGTGCGTCAAATCAAAGCTGCCACCACTATCCAGAGAATTTGGCGGGGTCAAAAGGAAAGGAAATTCTACAATGAAGTTCGCGGCAATTTCATTCTGTTCCAATCAGTGGCTAAGGGCTTCCTCTGCCGACGCAATATCATGGACACCATACATGGCAACGCGGCAAAGATCATACAGCGCGCATTTCGATCCTGGCGACAAATACGTGCATGGCATCAGTATCGTCGTAAGGTAATCATTGTCCAAAACTTGTGGAGAGGAAAGCAGGCCAGGACACAATATAAAAAACTTCGAGAGGAAGCGAGAGACCTGAAGCAAATCTCATACAAGCTCGAAAATAAGGTGGTGGAGCTGACTCAATATCTCGAGTCACTGAAGCGCGAAAACAAATCGTTGAACTCGCAGTTGGAAAATTATGAGACACAGTTGAAATCATGGAGAAGTCGTCACAATGCTTTAGAAAATCGCACCAGGGAGCTTCAGGCCGAGGCTAACCAAGCTGGGATTACTGCTGCCCGATTGGCCGCCATGGAGGATGAAATGAGCAAATTGCAGCAGAATTACGCTGAGGCACAAACGATCGTCAAGCGCCTGCAAGAAGAGGAAAAAGTCTCGCGGGAGTCGATTCGGTCTGCTAATCTGGAGTTGGATCAGCTCAGACAACTGAACAGTGAAGCTGAGAATGACCGGGCTTCTCTTCGCCAACAAGTTGCGGAGCTTGAAGAGCAGCTAGAGCTCGCTAAACGTAACATTCCTTTGAATGGGCTTAACGGAGATGCGCAGAACAGCGGTTCCATGCAGCCACCTGCCGGTGGCTTGATAAACTTAGTTTCCTCAAAGAAGTCTAAGCCTAAGCGACGGAGTGCCGGGGCCGAGAAAATTGACACTGATCGCTTCAGCGGTGCGTACAATCCCCGGCCTGTATCTATGGCAATCCCGAGTTCGACTTTCGGTCGCCAGAACTTTTCAGGGCATACTTTTTCACCAGGACTTGACACTGTTGAGGTAGAGCTCGAGAATTTACTGTCCGAGGAAGATGAGCTCAATGAGGAAGTCACAATGGGATTGATTCGCAACTTGAAAATCCCACTGCCGAGCTCGACACCCCCACCAACCGAGAAGGAAGTCCTATTTCCTGCTTATCTGATCAATCTTGTCACGTCAGAGATGTGGAACAATGGTTTTGTGAAGGAGTCCGAGCGTTTCTTAGCCAACGTGATGCAGTCAATTCAGCAAGAGGTCATGCAGCATGATGGAGATGACGCCATCAATCCGGGCGCTTTCTGGCTCTCTAACGTGCACGAAATGCTTTCATTTGTCTTCCTAGCAGAGGACTGGTACGAGGCTCAGAAGACGGATAATTACGAATACGACCGCCTCCTGGAGATCGTGAAGCATGATTTAGAAAGCTTGGAATTCAATATCTATCACACGTGGATGAAGGTGTTGAAGAAGAAACTGTATAAGATGATTGTCCCTGCGATCATCGAATCTCAGTCCCTTCCTGGGTTCGTCACGAGTGAGACCAATCGGTTCCTCGGGAAACTCCTTCCCTCAAACAACAACCCAGCGTACAGCATGGATAATCTCCTCAGCCTTCTGAACAATGTCTACAAGGCAATGAGAGCTTTCTACTTGGAAGATTCTATCATTACTCAAACCGTAACAGAGCTTCTTCGCCTTGTCGGTGTCACCGCATTCAACGATCTCCTGATGCGAAGGAATTTTTTGTCTTGGAAGCGTGGCCTTCAAATCAATTACAACATAACTCGGATTGAAGAGTGGTGCAAAAGTCATGATATGCCTGAAGGGACATTGCAGCTGGAGCATTTAATGGTAAGCTGGTTTTCAAGGGACAGTGATGATTTTCACTAATATATCTTTTCGTTTCTCAGCAAGCAACGAAGCTGCTTCAGCTCAAGAAAGCTACTCTCAACGACATTGAGATAATTCAAGATATCTGTTGGATGTAAGGCGGACGTTCGCAGCACTTCCAAAATGAAGGCTAATTGGTCGATTCTCTAGGCTGTCTCCGAACCAGATCCAGAAGCTTCTGAATCAATATCTTGTCGCTGACTACGAACAGCCCATCAATGGCGAGATCATGAAAGCCGTAGCCTCGCGTGTCACAGAAAAGAGCGATGTACTCCTCCTTACCCCCGTTGACATGGAAGACAGTGGCCCGTATGAAATCGCCGAGCCCCGTGTCATCACAGCCTTAGAGACATACACACCATCATGTGAGTGCTTCAACAAAATGGCGCCCAGAATACTAATAATATCCAGGGCTCCAAACACCGCGTTTGAAACGTCTCGCAGAAATAGTCTCGGCGCAGGCAATGGCCCAGCAAGAGAGGCTTGAAATATCTGACACTGCCGAGATGCCAAGCGATTAATGTTGCCTACCAGTGCCATTGTCAATATTCATCGTGGCCATGCGTCACAAGCTCAACTCACAAACTTACAGCGCAGTGCTACCATAGATTTTGCAACCGCAACTATTAGAATAACTCGGGAATGGTCTTGGCTTCGCTTCACACTTTGACTTAAACCTTATTTTCTGATTCTTGTATACGAACTAGCATGTTTTGACGCATAAAGTTCGGACACTTGGGACAGCTCCTGGAAACAACAACGACCAAAGAGGCTGGCATTACGGAAAAAAGATAAGAATGGACCAATGCGCCCCTGCGACAAGACACTTGCCTGGACATACTTACCTGGACATACTTGCCTGGACGATGAATTCCTTTCCTGTGAGAGTGTGATTTTGCTTCTACTTCGGTTTCTGTTGCTACGTGCCGCTATTCGATCGGGGTTGTTCTTGGGACTATAAGCTCTTATCAGCAAGACATCAAAAGCCATTTATATTGTTGCGTCTTTGAGACTACAGTTTGTATTGTTATACTTATTCGCTCCTGTCGAGTCTGTTACGGCCCTTCATGTTTGATAATGCCTGAGTCAGTGACATCGTTCCTTCTTCATGGAGGGTCATTGCCCAATGGGGAATCACCAATCCATTAGTAACTACCTTTAGGTAAGGTACCTTCTGTAAGACAGAGGCGGTACCTTACTCATCCATTCCTTATCGGGAGCTAAGTGGCAACAAACCATCGTTCACCTTTGTCTCAATTGACTTTGCCCCTGCAGCACCAGAACCATGATTACCACGGCCAAGCTAAACTTCATTACTGGTAACAAAAACAAATTGGCTGAAGTGAGAGCGATACTGGGAAATGTAGTTGAGATTGACAGCCAAGCAATCGAGGTACCCGAGATACAGGGATCCATTGAAGATATCGCGAAAGAAAAGGCTAGGCGCGCAGCAGAAGAGGTATGGACTGGATTGCATCAATGTGATTTCGTCTGATGGTCTCTGAATTTTCATTTTGACGCTTTATGGAAGATAGGCGGCCCTGTCTTGACGGAGGATACAGCGCTTGGATTCCGCGCTCTGAAAGGACTTCCAGGCGCGTATATGTAATGCTACCTTCCAGTCGGATTGTAACTTTGGAACTGTGGAACTGATCATGCAATATAGTAAACATTTTTTGAGCGCACTGGGACACGACGGTCTCAACAAGATGCTTGACTCTTTCGAGGACCGAAGTGCAGAAGCCGTTTGCACATTTGCTTTTTGTTGTGGTCCTGGAGAAGAACCAATACTTTTCCAGGGAAGGACGGAGGTAAATGGGCACTCGCGTCTATACGGTGTTCTATAAATCTAATTCGGACTTCAGGGTATTATTGTCAGGCCGAGAGGCCCATTGAACTTCGGTATGTAGATTCAGTCATGATCATTAGACTTTGCATTAATTATTCCAGGCTGGGACCCGATATTTGAACACAATGGGATGACATATGCTGAGATGGATAAGGAGGAAAAGGTACGACATCTAAATGCCTCACAATTGCTCGCTCAACTTTGGAGAGAAACACAGGAACGGAGATACAATTTCCCCTTTCTCCTTGTCAGACCTGAATATTTTTATTTGTCTTCGCGGACTGTTCAAGCATCTTGCGCTGACTTGTTGGGTAGAATCGAGTTTCTCACAGGTACAAGGCTCTCGCCAAGCTAAAGCAGTGGCTCGAAGAGGGGCACCTCTACCTTGATAGTGCAGGTACGAGGACCTGAAAGGCTTGAAGGAAAAGCCATTAGGTTGCCTAGGTCGGGCTTCACTCTCTGTTTTCCAGTCGGCTTTCTTTCCAGGATTCTATCCAGGCTGAAATCCTCGCACAGTTGCTCTCTACATCATCATCCTCCTCGCTTTTGAGCTCCACCACTATCTGTTCGTCAAAAGCTTCGCGCGCTTCCTCTGACAAGACGCCGAATATTTCAGAATCTAAGTTTCCCTGCAATTTGGCCTCTTTGTATTTTCTAGAAGAAGCGCGATCATGTTAGGGCGGGTTTAGGGAAAGGATGAAGAGCAGTTATGGAAGAAGCAGCATGCACGTACCTCGCAGAAAGACGGTCATATAAAATGGAAGTCGACGGACATCGTAAGACCACGACGAGATCTATCCATGATTTGGGAAACAAGTCGCATGCATGCCAATCAATCAAGTAGCCGCCCTGAAGCACCTCATCTTCGATCGCATCCAGTAGCTATACTGTCACATCAGTCTACGTGCGTGAGATCGGGATGAGCCTGAAACGTAGGCAAGATCCTCGTAGGTGTTGTGACTTCAATACGGATATCGAAAAGCCAACGACGTACTTTGTCCTCGTCAACGATCCAGGTTTCCAAATCCTGGTCATAGCTTTCAAAGCAACCTCGATCTTTGGCGACCTGGTTTATGGATAGGTGTCGCAAGCCGACCTCCTGTGCTAATTTCTCGCAATGAACAGTTTTCCCTACACCAGGGGTGCCTGTGATGATCACATTCGGGGATCTTCGCATACTGGCCCCAGCAAGAGTGCCAACCGCTCGAGAGTGATGAATGAGTCGTGTCTGATACCATGCAATGGAATCGAGGGGTTCGGGGAATTTTTCAGCGGGGCCGGCAGTGCTTTGGGCCTCAGGCATGAACTCGCAACCAGTAAAGGCAAACTCCACAGATACAGTAAGGTAGTGCTTAAAAATGCAGAAGCTTCATTAAACAATCTAAACCCTGATAGCAAATTCTATGAAATAGCCAATATTAATGATTAATATTGTTGGTATGCCATACGAACTCTGTTGGAAAGGGTCACTTGGCATATGATGAAATAGTCATCTGGAAAATACTCTCCTTTCTTTTCTATCTGTCCATTAAGGTAGTACAATGAGAAAGACCTGCTAATGTAATAGCGGGCCCTCTTACTCTGTATATGCTGAAATAGCGTCATTCGAGCCCGTGCAATGGGATACACTTTAGAATTTAGTTATGATAATCCCCCCTTCTCTCCCACACCGAGCGAAGAAAACGCCAATAAACTCGGGTGTGTTCAATCAAATTGAAGGCAACGCCTAAGAAACGCGCAGTCTGAAGAAGTCAGACTAGTCAACCACAAGACAAGCCTGCCGAACTTACTTGAGAAGCTCAAACACCTTGTATTTCTGCAAATAGGTAGTACCGCGCCGATATGCTTTTAGGACCTTCGTAGGATCGAGAGATGCTATTGTTCTTGGTCCACTGAGAAGTCTCACTGCCAGAGGGATTTTGAACATTGGGTCGAAGACCAACAGATTCGCACCTCCGTCACCTCGGATTTCGAAGCCAACGATGGTCAAAGAGTGACCTGTAGTGTATCAGTCGCCAATATGAGGAATCGATTCAACATTGATAACACAGTACCATGGTGTTGTAGATATATTGGGGGTAATTTGGTCACAAAGACTTTGTCATCTCTATCCAAAGAGCATGCGCACCGAAAATAGGCGGCGACAGCCGCGTACAAGGCGTCGTGGGCACGCATCTCTCTGGTTTCTCCGATGCTACTTGCATCGCAGCTGCTAAAGGTCAGCATTGTGGCTCCGTGGTATCTGAGGGGAGCCTGGTCTTACTCTATGCCCAGACTCAAAAATAGAGCCTGTGCCTGTAGGAATGAGAATTCTGTCAATTATCACATTTTAGCATTCTGACGTTACCTCTGGCGTGCCAATGTACTTCCTGGTGCCGCGAATCCCCCCGGTCTCAGCTCTCCCTACGCTGTTGAATCCCATATCCCATGCACGTTCGATCATATCTTGTAGCTGCAGAATAGTCGGTAGCGTCTCAGTGAAATGCTCATGACCGGAGATTTGAGATTCTTGAATGTACGAAATGAGCATCTGGATATTCCTGTAACCACAGAAACCGCCTTCCCTTGGCATCTTGGATATTTGACGGACCTTCGGACTGCAGAAAAAGGCTCGCTGAACAGACTTATCCTGTTCGCATAGCTGGGAGAGCATTGAGATCACATTGCTGGCCTCGTTATCAGTTGTCTCTAGTTTTGAAAGCTTGCCATCCGGGCCGATGATGTTGGACTGAGTTTTCTTTGCGCCCTGTTCTAGTAGTCTCCGGAGCCATGCCGGCATTCGCTTTTCATGAGCGTATGGTCCCAGTTCTGCACGCTGTGCCCCAGTTAGCGCGGTATCAAAAGCGCTTTCAGCCCGGGTATAGTACTCCAAGTCTTTTCACACTTCCAGGAAGTGACACATTGGGTAGCAGAGGGCTCGTCACTTCGTTTTCCGTCGAGGATGGGCCAGGCCCCTGCCTTCGAACCCGGGGTTTGACTGAAACGTTGCAAGGATCTTCGAGGGCCTCGCCATCGCCCGTTCGACTTTTTGAGCTTGGAAGACTGGGGTCCTGGACCTTGCTCACCTTCTCGGGGCGTTTTGGATAGATTGATGGGGCATTGTCAACTGCCATCTCTTCTGCAGCATGCATATCAAGATGATACGGGATTTCAGAAGATTGTAGGATCTCACCACAGCCGTGTGGACATTTGATGTACACCTTTTCATCACCTGGGATTTGTGGTTGTTGGTATCTGGGAGTCGGTTGACCTTCATCCCCGTTTTCTCCAGAGGGAGGCTCGGTTTCTCCACCACCTTCAGGATGACAGTATTCAACATGCTGAGCAACAAAAGTGTCATCAGGATCAGAGAAAGGACAGAATGGACAGGTTGGGTGATGAACGTCGCCTTGACCCATTATTGTAGGCACGGCAGTCAGGCTACTTGCTGTGAGGCAGCGGCGGGATCGTATCCTTTTGTATACCTTCTCGGAGCGGTTAGTCTGCTCTCTGTCTGGGAAGGGACAATGGAAGGGGATAAGTTTTCCATGGGGATTGAGCACTTCGGCAGAGGAAGCAATATTTATTATTCCATCCTACTAGTGAGCGCGGGTGCCTGATCGAGTTCTTAGGGTACCTACACTGTCAGAAAGCAACTAATTAAATGAGGCAAGTAGGATAAACTTGGCTACGGTCTCATAGTAGCAAGAAAAGATATATATCCATTCCTGGGACATAGAGATGGGCATACCTAGACCACCTCAAGGTCTAATTAAGGCGATGACTCCGAGATACAGATAATAAAAATGATAACGATCTCAAGAGTAATAATTGGGATCAATAGTAAAATTAGATAATGATAATGGATATACTGCATTATACTCTGTTTATTATTATTATTCTTATTCCATTCTTCTTATTATTTTAATATATAGAGGTGAAAAGTCTTTACTTCTTTCATTTCTTTTCATTTATTATTTTAGCTTTTATTCTTTCTTTCCTCTCGTGGATGAATCATCAGCGAAAAAAATGCTCCGGAGTAAATCACTACTCCGTATGTGCTCCGCTTTCGCAACCCCGCCAGCCCATATAAAAAGGTTTCCCTGCTCCCCGCGCCGATTACAGGACCACTATCATACATGTTGAATTCTTGCATTTGCAAGGCAGCTTGTCTTGTCATACTTGATCTAGCAGTATGGGAGACCAAGTACAATCCGATTCGAGTCCCTATACTCTGTCAATGACCAATGGCAGTTCAAACTGGGTAGTACAAAAATTTGGAGGCACCAGTGTCGGAAAGTTTGCCCTGAATATCATTGATCATGTTGTGCTGTAAGTGCGTCATATATCAGTCCTAAAATTTGAGCATGTCTTCTAATTGTATTCCTGCTGTTCATCATCAAGGCCGAGTCTCAGAGAAAACAAAGTCGCCGTGGTATGCTCCGCAAGAAGCAGCTCAACTAAAGCTGAAGGTACCACGAACCGGTGAGTCATACCGGTCGATCTGAATTTTTTTTTTCTGCGCAAAAATTCGATCGCCATGTCCTTCACTCTTTCCCTGTCCTTCATCTATCACTCATTTACTCATTGGCAATGGTTAAACAGCCTCCTGCGAGCAGCCCGTGATGCCGAAAACGCCCAGTCGCACGAGTATGTTTCCTTGGTGGAGGCAGTTCGGCTCGAACACGTCCAAGTCGTCGAGACTCAGATACAATCTGAAACCCTCAGGACCCAGTTAATTTCAGAGATTAATGGCGAATGCGAAAGAGTCCTGAAGGTTCTAGAGGCGGCTCAAACGCTCGGGGAGATAAGTGCGCGTTGTGTGGACAAAGTCATCAGTACAGGAGAGAAACTTAGCTGCCGACTGATGGCTGCCTTTCTACAAGACCGTGGCGTAGATTCGCAATATGTGGATCTGGCGGAAGTGATTGATTTCCCTATCGGGAGTCAAGGTCTTGACCAGGACTTCTATAACAATCTTGCTACTGTTCTCGGCAGAAAGCTCAGGGATTGCGAAGGAAGAGTGCCGGTGGTCACTGGCTTCTTCGGGACTGTGCCTGGGGGTCTTCTTGATCAAATTGGTCGTGGTTATACAGATCTCTGCGCTGCTCTCGTTGCAGTCGGAGTCCATGCCAAAGAACTACAGGTGTGGAAGGAGGTTGACGGGATCTTCACCGCTGATCCTCGCAAAGTCCCAACCGCGCGTCTGCTGCCAGCCATCACACCCGCTGAGGCAGCCGAATTGACATTTTACGGCTCCGAAGTAATCCATCCTTTCACCATGGAGCAAGTCATCCGCGCTAGGATTCCCATTCGTATAAAGAACGTTATGAATCCAAAGGGTGATGGGACCGTGATATTCCCCGACTCCACATACGAACTTGAAAGAACAACCCCGGGCCATGATCCAAGGCTTTTCCGTACACGAAGCCCCAGTCTCATGCAGAGGCCCAAGCGACCGACAGCTGTCACAATCAAACATAAAATACTCGTCATCAATGTGCATTCAAACAAGCGCTCGCTTTCCCATGGCTTTTTCGCTGGGATATTCTCTGTTCTTGACCGCTGGAGACTCTCGATTGATTTGATATCTACAAGTGAGGTCCATGTGTCAATGGCCCTTCACTCAGAGATGCCTCTCCTCAATGGAGTTGGTAGAGATGAGTATCAGATCATCGACGAAGATCTGAAAGGCGCGTTGAATGACTTGCAGAAGTATGGTACAGTCGATATTATCCCAGAGATGGCTATTCTCAGCCTGGTTGGGAAGCAAATGAAGAACATGATTGGAGTTGCGGGGCGCATGTTTACCACACTTGGTGAGAATAATGTTAATATCGAAATGATATCACAGGGTAAGTGCCCTTATTTGGTACTTCGGGATTAGTCTTCATTTGAAGCTTAAGACTAATTGCACGCATCATGCTTTAGGTGCAAGCGAAATAAACATATCTTGTGTTATCGAAGAAAGGGACGCAGACCGTGCTCTCAATATCATTCACACCAGCATGTTTACTTTCCTGGACTGATGACATGTTTTCTTCTCCTAGCGCTCCTTTCCCAGAGTCAGCGTTGCAGGATCTTCTAGTACTCCGAGAGAGCGATTTTCAGCTCTCTGAGAGGTCGAAAAGTTAAACTAATGGTTTCATGATGATACGGGAAAAGTAACTCGAACATGTCTATATTTATTCACGCGGTTGGTTTGGTATTCCGTGCTTTGTTACTTGGAGTTGGTGCTAATATGCCTCGATCGCCAATGTTGCCTTATCATTCTCCTACTTTGGGATACTCCATGTTTCAGTGTCTAGCTCTTCCCTCTTCACCCTGTCTTGTCCTTGCATGCAGCGTTCATTTCTCTTCGATTCCCTTTGTTTCTTTTCTTGTTAAGATCACTGTATTTGCTTTTGCAGATAGATGGGGTTTGTGCTCTTTTATGACTATTGTAAAATTGAGTATTCATGGCTGTATATAGATTAAGAGAGGAGCATCAATAGATCTAATTTCCTGGGTGCTTTCTTCTGTAATTAGAGTCTTATGGGCAGAACTGGCGCGCATATCTATACTGATTTGCACTTTGTACTGTCTGTATACACTATTGTTTCACATGCACCAGTTATTGACAGCTTCTTGTTCTCTATAATTGGTCGGCCATAGTACCTAGAGCACAGATTCGAGTCGCGTGAAGGGCCTCTGAATATCTAGGTAATATGATTTATACATTTACTTCGAACATCGTAGAGTATTTATGCAACAATACGATCTCGTTTGGGTTCAGAGCCTAGAGGGATAGTGGTGGTCAAAAAGAGTCTTACTCTTTGGTAGTGAGTCAACCTTCTCCAATTCTTTTGAAGGGCGGGCAATTCCCCGGCTAACTCAATGTAAGTATGGCCTGGCTTTGATAATCACTACGTAGTTTTGATTTATTAATGCTAGAACTAGTCTAGCTATTAAGCACACCTCTCTCTCTCTTATATATATATATCCACACTCACACACTCATACAGAAATATATATATATACTCATACATAATAGTGAGGCTAGTAAAGGCACATTACTATGCATATATAGATAATATTATATCAGTCAGTGCATGGCATTATATTAGGATGGTTAATAGAATAATAGTATATAGATATCAAGAAAAATACTATATCATGGTACCCCATGCTTACTTTCAGGATACTAGTTTGCCTGTAGGTGATACATCTTATGATGCTATATATTAGTACTCTGTACCTCTAGCATGCTTATCATTAATATATTCATTGCTTATATATTATTCCTATCCCACACCACAGTGAAGTTTGCAGAAGCTGCACTTCATGGATAAATATGATTAATTTATATACTGGATGAATGACCTGACATGCAATTTCCTATGGAAATGGGACATTCTATTTTACAGTTTTTACTTGATTGCAGAAGATGAAGCTAACATTAATTAAAATGAAAATGCAAATAGTATTACAAACAACTACTCTATATTGAGCTACATAATACACCTCAAGACCACTCGAGAATCTAGGTAGAACTACTCCGTACCAGACTACCAATTTGCCTGCACCCAACCCCCTACCGGGGCCCCAGCCCTTTCCACCCCTTCCCCTTAGTTACTATTGATGGAGTCCATGCTCTACTGGCTAATCAACAATGTCATGCCTAGTCACTAGATAGTATCTAGCATATCTAGCATCTAGCTACGATCTACCTTACTCCTTATTTGCAATGCCGTAGGTCCACAATGGCTGGAACGGTGGAGGCGGATTCTTCCATGTAGACACTAAGGTTACAAGGTAGAGTGACTACTGCCCAGATGCGGAGTAGTTCTAGGTACCTTAAGCAGTTGAGGAATACCTAGTACTAGTAGGTACTAGTGTCTGGATATAGAATGTTACCAATCGGAGTCTTACCTTCGGTCTTTGGAAACTATACGGAGTACATTGTTGCTTATTCTGCGGACAGGAGGAGTGAGGTAGGAATTTGAACTGTTTTTACTGATGGGGAAGGAACAAACAAGTCACAACCAAAAGGGAGGGAAAGGAGGGTCGAGGCAGATTTCGCGCGCAAGGGGGCGGCGAGAGAGAAGTTGGATTCGGATTTTAAAGGCAAGGTACAAGTAGGTATACCAGTCATAACTCCATAGCATAACAAAGTGTAGATACTAGTAGTACCAGTGCCAGTACTAAGAGCAGCAGCAATTAAGGGTCGTAAGTAGAATGTATATCCCAAAATGACCTGGAGAGTCACAGAAGTGAAACCCCCCCGTGCCTTGTGGTACCTACTTAGTACATATTTTAAACTACTTACCTAGGTGTATATATATGTATCTACATGAGGGGTGCACATCATCATCTTAAGGTAAAATGATGATAAATAGTCCCATCATATGACACAAAGTACTGGGCATTTAAGTAGATAGCAAGATACCAAGGTACTATCCTACCTAGTGCTCTAACTGTTGTTCTGTTCAAAAGTCAAGGATATAAGAGACGCCTGCTCTGGCTTCTGTTTCTGTCCTCGATTTAGGGAGGCCTGACGCGTGACGCGGGACGCGTCATACCATACCATACCACCCCGCGGGTTCTGCGACAGTCAACATCCCAGAAGTGATGCACATATCCTTCCTTCCATTCCACAGTCGACTAATTATAACAAGGGAATAGTCAACCGTCTTCATTTACGCCCCACCTTTCCTGGGCTGGACACAGTCCTGCCAGTTAACGAACCAGACAGGGATCTGATATAGAGTCAAGCCCCGTCTTCCCGACCGTCTCTCCTCCCTGCCCACCTGGATCTGTTTCTCTTCCCTCGCTTGAATTGTCTTCAGGTCCCAAGAAACGCCTTGAACCACTTCTTACTTGATCAGACGTGCTCAAGAGATTTCCCTGCTCGCTACAACACCTAACGAAGCCTTCTTTCAAGCCGTTCGTGGTTCGATGCCAATTTGTCCTGGGCCGCGCTCTCAATGAGTCCTTGTTAGCGCCTTGGAGCCCAACTCACCGATTCTCCTCTTGCACGACCTGATCCTACCAGTAGAAACTTTTCTTCTTCTGTCGTCATTCTATTTATCCTAGGCGTTGATACCTGATTCTGGTTGATTTCATGCGCGAGCCACTGTCTTTGAAATTCTAGTTTGACGAGGTGCTTCGCGTCCTCACCTCAGAAACACTTGTCTGCTATCAGACCTTTTACTTGAGAGTGCGCGCATTGCAACTGGCAATAGTCTTCTTCTCATTGTGATCAGAATTTTCTACGCCACGAACGCAGGTGCAGTTCCCTATTGCCAAAAGATGGATTCCACGCCCTTTGTGCCGCCACTTTCAGAACTGGCTGCAGAGCACGACAAAAAGGGTTCTCAATCCCACTCTCAGCATCTTAGTCCATCATGTTCATCATCGTTACCCTTACAGCCACCCGAGAATGTTCCCTCTGGTCAAGAATGCATTCTTGATCCTCCACTATCCAGCGCTCATAGACCGTCTCCCATGAAGACACCTCGTGGGCTGAAAACGTCGCTCTCCGGCAGTCGCGAACTGGGCTTCATTCCCATAACAGCTCCAGCTCCGCCGAAGTTCACGACAGACTCGCCAGCCAAGAGGACTCCAAGTACTACATATCCATACTCTACCTCTTCGTCTTCGGCAATGCCACAATCTGCCCTGTTCACGACCTTTCCCACCGTCAATCATGGGAAACAGTCCTCCAAGGAGAAGCGACAATTAGCTGAATCTTGTAATGACAACTTCGCCGATTTCCCTGAACCATCTTTTACATCGAAGCCTCTGAAGAGGACCCTCATGGATGCTGCCCCATTGAAGGAACGAACGGTCAAGAAGCAGAAGCACGAAGATGTCGATGTTACGCGACTTCCGAGTCCCCAAGTGATGACCCCCATTGAAGACGATGGCACAAAGCCACCTTACAGCTATGCGACCTTGATAGGAATGTCTATTTTACGCGCGCCTAACCGCCGTTTGACTTTGGCTCAAATTTACAAATGGATCTCAGATACGTTTTCTTATTACAAACACAGTGATCCTGGGTGGCAGAATAGCATTCGTCATAACCTCAGTCTGAATAAAGCTTTTATTAAGCAGGAACGGCCGAAGGATGACCCAGGCAAGGGAAATTACTGGGCCATTGAACCCGGAATGGAAGCCCAATTTCTTAAGGATAAGCCTTTGCGTCGCGCAACCATGTCAAGTCTCCCTCTTCCTGTTACCTCCCAGAGAGAGCCTGCTCACACGCAAAGCTCCGGCACGACAACATGGGCCATTCCCCCACCTAACCACACCCTAGTACCGAAGAGCTCCAAGAATGTGGATCTTTCTTCTGATGCCACGATACCTGCCTCAGACCCTGCTCTTCAGGACGACATGAGTGACGAGGGTGTTAATGCTGCTACATCCCAAGCGCCTCTGCGCTCTTCTCCACCCCAACCAATACGTTCGTCACCTCCTATCGCCCCCCCTCGATTTATTCGCCATGGCACACCTCCAACGCCTTCTCATCCCACATCTTCCGCCATTGTTCCTCACTCTCGCAAACAAGAATCGACCACGATAAATGATAGCGGATACTTCTCTTCCCTGGAGTCTTCAGCAATGCGTCCAAAGAAGACAGGGCATATTTTGACGTCGGACCTGGATATTGACCCTCCTCGTATTAAACGTGGCCGAGCAGAAGAGGAGATTGCTCGAATTCGAAGCTCTTCCCACGATATCAGCCCAAGACGTCCCGGAATGCTCAAAGATACTGGGGCAGTAATCGGGTCTTCGCCGGTTCGCGGTGAATACGTCAGCATGCTGCCGCCTCCTCTAACGCCGGTGATAAAATTCAAGAAGCCAGCTAAGCCCCCGCCGTCTGTGTCTCCCAACACAAACCTTCGGAATCACCGCAAGAAAATCCAACAAATGGTCAATTCTCCCTTAAAACATCTGGGACTGACAGAGGAAGACCTCCCGTGGAGTCCTGCTTTCAGAATCCAAGACGAAACATACACCCCAAGCGACCATCTTCATGCGACTT